GGCTGAACAGTTGAAAACCAATTTTTTACTGAAAACATTTGAACACACCTCATATATTAAATAGAGATGCAGATAGTGTAATGGATATTGGTACAGGAATTGAACTCTGCACGCCTAGTTCACATAAAGTGAAAATTTATTACAGTCATATAAAGTAAATTAGGCATGCGAAGTTCAAATCACACGTGGTCTTGTTTCATTTACTTTGTGCTAATACCTTTGGAAAATGCATGAATCTATCTACCTTCAGCTATGGGTTAAACATCAGGACAGACTTGGCTCTCTTGCCTTGAGGTGGTAAGCTATCTAAGAGAAGGATAACTCTGAATTCAAACCCAGCCTAAAGTGTGTTGGGCTCTGTCAGCCTATCTTTCCCTAGACACACCACTGCTGCTATGGCTGCAGTGAATGTGGTGTGTCTACAACCCTAATGGGTTATGAGACACACAGACTGACAGAAAACATTAAATGAAAAACAAAATAATAAATTTGTTTTGTAGAATTAATTTATGATTATTTTCACTTATTTGTTTATTTTATCTATAGAAAAATTCTTTATCTAGACATCAGTTTGTAATTGTGCTTTACCTCTGCATGGAGGGGGTTCACTGATATCCCTCACACTTCCCGATCTACAATAGCTTTTAGCATTTTTAGAATTCTCAAAGTTAAAAAAGAAAATGAAATGGTTCTTTTATTTTTTTAAATATTTATTCATAAGATCCTGACAAGATGTTTACTGTTAGAATTTTTTTAAAATAACATTTTATACACAGCTGAGAAAGTGATATTATACAATACTTTGTATTATTATAATGATCTAATCCCTCAATAAATCCATATAAAAATCAATTATAAGCATAGGTTACATACATCAGTTACTGATGTAAAACTTCAAATATAAAGATTTTCACTATCATTTGTTAATCTTTTTATAAGTTTTAACAGTATAAATATTATAGATTATCTTAATAATGAATAAACAGTAGGTGAATTTTAATATTAAGGTAAACATTTTTTTAAAGTTGTTATATGCACTCTTTATTGGTTGTAGTAAAAGGAATATATACACATGAAAATGGAAGAACAAAGATTTTCTGAAATAATGGATTCCTTTACAAGTGAATACTACTTAATCCTGTATTAGCTATTTTTAGATCATAAAAAATTCTAATTTTTCTTTTAATTTAAATTTGCAGAAACTTTTAAACTAGTTTTTAAGATTTACCTTCAAATCAGTTTTGTGTAGAAAAATCAAGAATCAATAAGGGCTTTTTAAGTAATTTAGGCATTTTCCACAAAAAAGACATTTTTATCTTCCTTTGAAAACCTATAATTTCTCACAAAAATAATATTTCTCTAAATTTAACTAGTAATAAGAAACATTAAAATTGTAATTTTAAGTTGCATTTATGATCATTTTTAATCCTGCTAGACCTTACAAATAAAAAAAAGCTGGACTACTTACAATAGAAAAGGGTATTAGATTGTCTTGTCAGCTTATTGATGTTATTTGAATTATTTATGAAGGATCATAAGAAAAAAGATCCTTATACCACTTCAGGTCTATCAATTCCCTTAATTCCCCCATTACCAACTACATATCAGAGAAAAGCTTACATATATTTTTGTTTTATATTTACTTATTTAATATTTAATTTCGACAACAGCTTGGATACTGACAAGTTTTAAATAAAGAATGTTCCTAGTATGAGTCATATAAGAAAAACTGCTATATAGCTACTGCAACAGACATGGAACTTGCTAAAATTTCTTCTAGAACTCAGTAAATATATCATTTAGTTCTTTTGTGACTAAAACAAAAATGTCAAAATTATTTATTAGAAATATTCCTCTTTTCCTTAAGAGATTAAATTAAATCCTGAAATACCATTCCAGCCTATAGGTAGTGTAGAAAATTTGAAAAAGAAAAAATGAGTGAAACCTAGAATTTAAAAAATTCTCTGAATTTTCTCATGAACAAACAGAAAGATTGAACTTTGAATTACTCCTCACTTTATCACAGTACCTGTTTTACCTTCAGGTGACAAAAATCTACACTTCCTTCCATTAGAAAAGAAGTAGGTCAAGCAATCAAATTTCATTCTAGAATAGAAACTAAAAAACTAAATTAAATGAAAAAGACCGAAAAAAAAAAACACAAATTACATTTTTAAAAATTTCTATTAGAATACTTTATTCAATTTCTTTTATTCTCTTTATTTTATTTTTATGCCATTAAAAACAGGATTTCATATAAATAATGGAGCCTACTTTAAAATACATTGAATTTGAATATCACAGGATTTCACAGGATTTTCTTTTTCATCAATTTTTCTGCAAGTCTTTTTTTCTTTTAACATAAAGCCATGCTCCATGCAATTTTCAGATGATTACATTGATCATTTTTTTCCTTTGAAAACATTTCTTTTATAGAATTCTTGATACACACAAAGGCACTTTATTGTACCAAAAAGCAATTTTGTCTCTCATCCATCTTCTCCCCCATCCTCTTCCTTTATTTCACTAGCATCTCTTAGTTGTTTTTGTTCTTTCTTGCTAGCAGTTTGCTTGGTGATAAATTCCTTCTCTTACAAATCAATTTTGTATGAACCTGCTGCTGACTCATCCTAGTAAAAGCAAGGAAGAAAGCGAAATAATTTTTCTCTTTCTTTCTTTCCCCTTTCCACCATGACAAAATGATACCCTTTCTTCATATTCTTTTTAACCTATGTATAAATAATTAAAAAAATGTTTTAAGCTAGTTTTGAAGTCACCCAATATTTTTAAAGTTGTGTAGGTGCAACTGATTGAAAAATAGTAATTTTCAATATTAATAACATTTATTTATTCCATGATTAAATCAGTTTATTCTTTCCTATGGAGTCCCTTTACAAGTCTGCTAAAGTGTGCCCTTTTCACAATATTGACGCAATATCTACATTTTTGGCAATCTATAAATTCGATGTTTAGTTTCTAAGAAAAATAAAGTTTCCACTGAAAGAAAACGAAAAGAAAAAGCTAACTTTGAATTAAAATAATATAAAAACCATAAACCATTTCTAAAAGCAATCCTTTCTAGAACATTGACCCTTGTACATTTTCCTAGTTGAATGAAAAGTACCATTGTACCATAGTTTGAAATGAATCGTTTTTTCTTTAGGCAAAATTCATTTAAATTAAGATAAAACTTTCTTTTTCATTCACATTGTAATGAAAACATATGGTCAGCAACCGATAACAAAAAAGAAAAACAAAAGTTAAATAAAACTTTGTCATTTTTTCAAAATCATTTTCATAGTTTTTTTAACTTTCTAATCAAATAGGTATAAATTTTATTTTGATATTTAACTTTTGAATATATAAATAAAATTATTACCCGTGAAAATAAAATAAAATTAATGAAGCCGTGAATGAAAAAAAAATCAAATGTTTCTCTAAAAAAACAATGTTGCATATGATCAAGAAAGGTAAAAAAAAGAACAGTTTTTTTTTAATTATTTACCCACATATGTTTATTTGTTTTTTTTTATAATTTGTCAAATTACAGACTAGCGATTTTGAACTTATTGCATCGTAAAAGCAAGCTGTTGATACTTTAAAAATAAAAAAATACAATAGTTGATTTTGCCGATTTCGCTATATTACCATGTTGCTTGGATTTTTTAGGTTTCGCCAATTACCAACATGCTGTTGTCTTTTTTGTCAATTGTTTTTTTAGCAACAAGCTAACCGTTAAAATAAATTAAATTTAGAATATTTAGTGAATAAACAGTTTTCCCCGTCATTATTAGAATAATTTTAAAAAAGATCGATTTACTGTAAAATCAAGAAAAGTATTTCCTTTTTTTTACAGTTTATGCTAATAAAGAAAGGTTTAAAAATCTCAACATCGATATGTATGCTATTTATTTTTAAATTTACACGAACTAGAAAATTTAATTAATCAAAAACATTTTTTTGTTAGTAGTTACTTACTACAAATATTTTTATTTACTATTGCTAAAAAATTATAATAATTCCAAAGTAAGTATTCATTTTAAATGTAGTATGATTTTAACGCTGATATTTCTAAAAAAATTATATACTATAATTATTATAGTATATAATTCTAAAGTAGTAAATAGAAAAAAATGCAACTTATTAGCAAGAAAAAAATAAAATAGAAGTGATTCAAGATGGCTGATTTATAGACAAAGAATTGAGTACATGGATGTTTGTAAATCATTTTAATAAATTACCAAAACAAAACTCCAGTAGCTAAGATAATACTGCATTGACTTATAATTTTATCGTTAATGTGTTAAGACTTCAATCATTTTTGAGTATTACGCTTAAATGTTTTATTTCATTTAAAACATGATTACCCTTACACCACCCTAACCTGCCCTCTGGCATGACTAACAAAGATTTTCTACTACTGCTGCTATGAGAAAAAAAAACGGCTTTTTCTGTAGCATTTTATTGAAATATATAACCGTTTGTCGGACATAAATTATCAAAAGTTAACATAAAGTCTAAACTAACCTACTGTATTAAAAGCGATTATTTCAAATATTTTTAAACAACTTGAGACTTCCTGAAAATCCATTAATATGCTGACCCAGATTTCCTACCATATTGACCTTGACCAGTGAAGTAATTTCCGTTATATATATATAAAAATGTTTTTGTTTTTTTTTAAATATCAAGCTTATTTCTTATAGAAAGTAAAAATAATCTATATGATAAATAGTAATTAATAATTTAAACAAAAGAAAAAAACACAAAAATAAATTCCCATGATTCCTGGAGGCCGCTTGCACATACTAGTTTTTCATTGGCTGAGCATATGAAAAGAGCCGCATTTCATTGGCTGACTGAAGAAGAGGCTGCCTTTCTAAGCTTGTTAGGCAGGCTATCGGCACCATTTTGAGCTAGATTTTTAACGTAGCTGGCTCGTTAAGTAGCTCTACATTCTGTCTTATTCAAGCTATTGCTTGCTATTTAATTTTTCAAAAATGCCTGAAAGATACAACAGCTATAGGGATGATGATGATCCCCAAGCTGAAAAATTTCGCAAGCTCTTTATCGGAGGGTTAAATTATGAAACTACCGAAGAAACCATCAAGCAGCACTTCGAACAATGGGGAGAGATTGTCGACTGCGTCGTCATGAAAAACCCAGCAACCAAGAGGTCCCGAGGCTTTGGTTTTATCACCTACAAAGCTTCCGAGATGTTGGACGATGCCCAGACCAACCGACCTCACAAAATAGATAATCGGGAACTCGATACCAAGCGCGCTATGCCACGCAACGAGTCTGATGAGACCCAAACTTCAGTAAAGAAAATGTTCGTCGGTGGATTAAAGGATGACACCGCAGAAGAAGACGTCAGAGAAGTCTTCGGTCGCTTCGGCAAGATCGAGAAGCTGGAAATGATTAAAGACAAAAACACTGGTAAACAGAGAGGCTTTTGTTTCATCACATTCGACGACTTCGACTCTGTGGACAAATGTGTCTTGAAACGGCGAATTTCTCTTAACGGCAAATACGTTGAAGTGAAGAAAGCTGTCTCCAAGGACCGAGAAGGGGGCATGTCCGGTGGAAGAGGCGGACGCGGTGGCTCTCGTGGTGGTATGGGAGGCAGAGGCGGTTTCGGCGGTTCTAACGGCGGTGGCTACAATGATGGCTATGGCTATCAAGGAAACATGGGTTATGCCAGCAACATGGGCGGAGGCGGTGGTCCTCAGGGCTATGGCGGTGGTGGCCCCCAAGGCTACGGCGGTGGAAACCAAGGTGGTTACGGCGGCGGCTATGGCAATTCTGGCGGCATGGGAGGCCGTTATGGCGGTCCCGGTGGCGGTTCCGGAGGTGACTTCAATGATGGCTACAACAACTTTGGCTCTGGATATGGATCTGGATACGGCGGTGGACCTACCCGTGGCGGTAACTTTGCTCAAAGAGGAACTGGCCCCTATGGAGGCGGTTATGGCAGCGGTGGCGGTGGCGGCGGCGGCGGCGGCGGCATGGGTTACAGACGGTAATCTACTTATCCATCCCAGAGCCAAACCATCTTATCTCTATCCGCATCCGCTACACGGTCGGAGCACACGGACTACTACGGCCAGGTAATATCCCTGTCTGATGATAAAAATTCTCTAAGATAATATAAAAAGGGAAAAGATGAAAAATGAAACCCTTGAGGAAGAAATCTATATCGAATAAGTTTCAGTTTGACATACATTATGGTGTGATCACGAAGTGGGGGCTCAATTTCTTAATGTATTCGTTAAAAATGATCCTTCTGCTTTGTGTAAACACTGATTCTCAAGCCAGCTATCCATTTATCAACCGTAACGTGACCTAGTATAATTTTGATCTAGCTTTGTAGTAGCCATTTTATCATTTTAAGCATTACTTTTCTTAACTTTACTCATTTTGTGCCAAACTTATATAAAATTCATAAGCTTAGTCTTTAGCTAATTTTTTTAGAACACTTAAATCTGCTGAATTCAGTTTTTCATTTTTTTTTTTTTTTTTTTTTTTTGGAGCTTTTTAATTTTAAATCTATTATAGGCAGATCTATGGATGTCCAATTTTCTTAACTCGGATCCCTACACGATGGTAGAATGACTACTACTATACACCTTAGAACATGTAAAGTGCCTGAGACAGTTTGGACTCCATCACTCAGCTAACACCATTTTCTTTTTGAGAATTTAAATTTTTAATCTTCGCTGGACAGTCCAGTGGAATTACATCCACTTAATCTGTTTTGATAGACGGCCACCATAGACAGGTGATAGTGTTCCTGCCCGTTTTACCTAGTGCTTTCTTCCTTATGGACATCAACATCTTTCATGTAATTACTTCATTTCCACTTCATCTCATGAAGACCCAAACAGTGAGGACAGTGTCTAAATGTATTGAAGTCTTAATAAACACCTTATTTAATAACTTACCTCTTAGTCATGTTCAGTATAAACGCTAGCCTAAGGTGAGTAACTAACTTGGGCTAATAACAAAGAAAGTGATTTGTGGAGGTCGGGTTTCTTTCTTTAGTGAAACCAAACGAAATATTCAGGTCTTTTTTATTGCTTAAATCCTATTGACCTAATCAAATCACTGTCTTAATGTCTATAATTCTATTTTTATTTTGTGTTACTAGATTAATACTAACAGTAGAAGTGAAGGCTACTGCCTCGAAATACTGTTGCTTCACTTAGTTTCCATTGGCCGAATATTTGTCTATTTATTTGGAGCTTATTGAATCTAAGGCGGTCAGTGACTTAAAATTACGTGGGGTGATGAATTTCGACAACTAATCCAATTTTTAGCTAAATAGCTTTTGTGCAATTCTTAAATGGATTTTAGACTTTTCTCTTAGCTGAAGGTTTATATTAAATTTTCCATCATCGCCCCAAGCAAACCTATCAACAGTATTTCAGTCGCCATCACTTGTTCAAAGTCCCTCTTCTCTTTTTAAAGGTTTTAATTTTTGTAGAAAGACTCAAAAAGAGTTAACTTAATCACTAGAGCAAATACAGTTGATTCTGTCCCGTTTTCTTATTTTTAGTCGTTAGACAACTGTACTTGCAACTAGTTATGAGTAAACTCTGGGCGAATGTGTGCCCTCTTTTTGTATTTGTTTCGATTTTGTCAAGACGTTAAATCTGGGAGTGCATGATTTTTTTTACTTTTTTATTTTGAGAGTTGCAATCTGCACAGGATTGCTTCGAGTCAGCTTGCCCGTAAATTAATACTCGAAGTAGTTTTAAACGGTAAGTACACTTACCGATCATTATTGAAATTCAATTGCTTTACATACAAATAGATCGATCGTAGCTGCTTCTTTTATTTAAGAAAAATGCATGAGCCTGTAGTGTTAATATGTAGAAAGTTTTCGAAATTGTATTCAGCACTTTATTTCGGTTGAACTATGATTCTGGTATTAGATTTAATGTTTTGACCGTTTGATTCCGGGCAGCCCTCGTTCTCCTGTGTCAGCTCGAATTCCGATGGCACGATTTTATCATTGTGTGTATCGGTTTCTTTTTTTTTTTTTTTTTAAAAAAAAAAAAAAAGTGCTACCTTCAGCCTACACGAATTCTACTCTCTACCCCCCTTCTCCAGGGAGGGTGACTGTTGAGTGGTAGGGGGAATCTGTATATACTGTCTTCCTTCATCTTAAAATGGAACGGCAATGTCTAGTAACAAACCCGCTCATAATGGTAGGTATAAAATATGTCTATTTATTGGGATCTCTCTTGTTTTATTACATGTTTCGGTTTAATCTTAAACTGGCTGTTTCTTTTTACAGAACCATCTTAATTTTAATACTTTTGCTAAAGTTCACGTCTTCTGAAATTTGATTCAGATAGAAGAAACTGAACCCTGTGCCAAAAATTCAAATTCATGGCTTATTTTCTAGTTACTTCGGTGTTTTGATTAAACTAAATTAAAATGGAAATACAGCCGGACATTATAATTTATGGTCCAAGAAAAATTAAATTGGCTCAATCTTAATGAAATTGTAAAGGTTTGACATGGGATTTAAAGTGAATCAATTAACCCACCCTTGTCATAAAAACAATTCCCTAAAAGAAAATGTCCCTATTAAAACTCGTGCTTTTTTAAATGCATGTGAATTTAGATAATATAAAAGTATCAAATAAGGGTGGGATTTAATGTTGCTGCTTTTTTCCTCTAGCATCACAAGATTCCAGCCTTTTTATAACCTAACCTTCTGAATAGGTAGGTAAAGTAGATGTCTTTAAAAGGTCTGTATTTAAACACTGTTGTAATTTTATCAGATACCAGTCTACATTTCAGGTCAATATGGCATAAGTATTGTTTGCTAGATAAGATGAGCTTATTGGCAGTTGTCAGCAGTACATTAGGAGCTTATGTTTGTGCCTTACTGTAAATATGTATGGGGAACTTGAGGTAAGTGCTTATATGCTAATTAGGTGTGAATTTGTCTTCAATGTTCAATATTGAATCTGGGTGGCTAAATATGGATGAATGCTTATCGTACAAACCTGTTAACTTAAAGAAAAATTAACTTTAATTCCTAAAGGCATTAGGCCTGGCCATATCTTACTTTAATCTCAAAAGTAAATTTGTTTAATAGTTTCAATCTAATGATTAATGTTTGTCTATTTATTAACTTACTGTCTTACGACTTGCTATGATAAAGTATTTGCTTTATTGATGAATCTTAGTGCTTCATAAGGAAAAAAATGTAATGAAAAAAAAAAAAAAGTTTTCATTGTTTATCTAAACTGGCTTGAATGAATTTGAAAATCCTGTTTGTTAAATGCCTTGTTTTCAGCTGTTTGCATAGAATTTTCTAATTAGCTGGTCTTAAGATTTCAGGACTTAGCACTGTTAGCAGTTTTTACAAGCCATGACTAGACCTTGGTCACGTGATATTCAGCTAGTTGTCCTACTGAACAGCATGGAATCTCTCTCTAGGTGAACTTCTATGAGGAACAACAATTCAAACAAGGTTGAATTTGAGCTTGAATCTAGTTGCAAGCTATCAGAACTGCACAAGTTGGTGATAGGTGTGAGCTATCTGAACAGCCATGGGGAAATGCATTTGAGCTTACTGCTCCATAGGTAGGATTAAATTTTCCAGCTTGAACATTCATTGGATTTGTGTGTATATTTACGTTTTTATTATTATTATACATATTTGCTGTCTTGTAATGTTAGATTTTTACACTCAGTGGACTAATGTCATTAAGCTAATCCACTATTATTAGAGGGAATTTTCTATAGAGCCATTTTTTTTTATTTATTTTTTTTTTTAATACTTTTACTTTTCTGAAGTAATTTCAATGTAAGAATTAATATTTAATGTTAGGATTTACATCTTTTTAGCATTTCGTATATTTTAGTTATGTAAATCTAAAATCTAGGGAGACATTAAATATTTAGCCATTTTCTGAGTGGCATTTCTAATTTAAACAACTTCTTTAATATTAAAGTGACTTCTATATAAAGGAATAGAATATAAATACAATTCACTCAAGACTAAAATACCTAAAACATTTACTTTTCTTTTTTAAGCTTCCACTTGTTTAATTCTTTGCTTGTTTCTCTCGTGTAACAAATTCTCCATTAACTTGTAACTTTTCTGTTACAGTAAGTGGCATTAGTGGTGGTGATGTTTTTCCGAAGCACCTGATGCTTAATGGTTCCAGACCACCCAGGATGCCGACCCATTCAGTCCTGAACATTTACCCTAACCAACTGGGCATGAAGAAGTTGGCTTCAGCACGTCGTAAGTTTTTAGTAATTCTTCTTGAATTCTGATTTTATTTTTATTTTATTTTTTTTAAGTTTCTTATTTGATTATTTTTTTTGCTGTTTATTTTTTTCCCCCAGGAAGGACGTCATTTTGCGACTCTGCGAAGAGTTTGGAGGAGGGAAATCAATTGTCAAAAATTGTAACTTTACACAATAAAGTTGTTTGAGCAAAAACTAAAGTGTTTGTCATTAATTCTAAATTTCTGCTTGCATTTATGAATCTTTTGTTTGAATTTTGGGTATGAAGTAGGTACCTCCAAAAATTCGGTATACCTAAGGTTTAAATGTATTTTTCATAAAGGAAAAATCATTTTTTTGACTGCTTCAATTGAAAGCTAAAGGATTAAACTTTCTCTTTCCAGAAAAAATACTGTAGTGTAGGCTTGTCCCTGGTAAAGCTTAAAAAAAAAAAAAAAGTGGTATACCCGGAGAAAAAAAAAAGATCCCCAAATTGATAAAAAAAATTTAACGTGTAAATGTTTAAAATTAAACGGAAGACAAAAGTATTTTTTGAATATTTTTAATGTTTCCTATAAATTTTAAAAATTATTTAAAAATCTCGTTTTTCTTGAATCAAAAAAAAAAATTTAGTAAATTCGATTTATCGGCCATTTCTGTCCGAATTTGTAAACAAAATCAAAATTAGTTCAAATATCAATTAAAATTCGGTTACACCTTTTTTTTTTTTTTTTTTTTTTTTTATCTTAGGAAATTTAGAATGATTAAAGTATACTTAATGTAATTTGAAAGAAACATTACTTTTTTAGCAGAAATTTTTTTTGATATTTCCAACCGTAGTGCTTGCTTAGATGGTGTGATTGAAGGGTGTTCTAATCTCACTTTATCTCACTTATTAAATTGAGATAAAATTCTCATTTATCAAAATAAACGGTTAGTAACTCCGTGAAATTTTAATAATTTTATTAGTTATGTTATTAAATTAAAGATATAAATCTAATATTAATAAAATTAGTTATCTTGGCTATTAAATAATGAAAGAGGTAACTAAATGTAAAAAATTTTAAATTCTAAAAAAAAATAAATTATGCACTGTACTAAACCTGCCAACACATTCAGACATCAAATTATCGATGAAGACATGAAAATCAGAACCCGAGGTCAACAGTGTTGACATTTCTCTCATAGCAGTTTCAATTTTATTTTATTTTCTTTCTCAGAAGCATCAACTAAATATCATTCAAATTTCTATTTGAATGACACTACAGTAGGGTTGTTCCTGGTAACGCTAAAAAAGTGGTATACCCTGGAGAAAAAAAGGTCCCCAAATTGATAAAAAATTGTAACGTGTAAATGTTTAAAATTAAAGAGGGAAGACCAAGGTATTTATTTTGAAAAAAATTTTTTTTTGTCAAAAACTAGGTAATATTAACATTACTTTTTTTTTCAGTTGGGGGGAAGAAAAAAACCCCACCTATTTGGAAAATCTTGCAAAAATCAAGTACTTGTTGGATTTTTTTAGGCACCTCCAAAAAATTCGGTATCCAAGGTTTAAATGTATTTTTCATAAATAAAAAATCATTTTTGAAGCTTTCCCCAAGCTTCAATTGAAAGCTAAAGGGTTCAATTTTCTAATTCCAGAAAACAAAACACTGTACTGTATTTCAACTAGAAATTATAATGATTTTAATCGATTCTTCTGAAAAACTAATTGAAACGGCCATGTTTAACTTTTTTTATAGAGAAATGTAAACAAAAATTTTTTTTTTTTAAAAAAAAAAAAAAAAAACCGCCTAAAATAACAGATTTTTGAAACCGTTACTTTCGTAAAATTAGCAAATTTAAAGTTTAATTAATCTGTTTTAAAACAAACATCACTTACTTACACCATGAAATTTTCTAGACAAGCATTTCTTCACTACAGTCTTGAATTTTTTTCGAGTCTCCATCGATAATTTGATGGCCGTGTGTGTTGACAGGTTTAGTATGGTGGACCAGAGCTGGTACAATTTTTCGAATTCTAAGTAAGAATGGTTTGCTATTGAATTTTTAACTACTAAGTAATGTTTAAAATTTAAAATATTTCAGGCAATTATCTAATATTTTACTGATTTTTTTTTTTTTTTAACTAATTTTGAAGATGTTTTATTTAAAAATAAAATACTATAAAAATTATGTAGTTAGCTCTATAATGGTAGATAATTATGATAATATAGTATTTAATAAAATTATCAGTTATTACAATTTTTAATTAAATAACTGAGATGTAATATTATTAATTATAAATTATATTAATATTTATCTTTAGAAGTTATTAATAATTTATCTCAGTTATTACATTTTTACAACTGAAATATAATTTTATCTCAATAATTCACTTAATTTAATAACTGAGTTATAATTAATAAAAGTAATTATCTGTTATCACAAATGATAGAGATAACACTATGCTTTAAAATTTATAGTATTTAATATTTATATCTTTTAAGATCCTATTTTTTTTATTCTTTATTATATTTTGATGTTTATGAATTGTTAAAGTTATTTTATTTATTAAATTTTTAAAGTACTTAAAATTTTTATTACTTAGATAATTGTACACCAAGGGCTTTCCCATAGGGGGAGACAAGCCTTGAAACACGTGATCTTTTAACCATAATATCACTTGCGAGACACCATACCAATAAATAAAAATAAACATCGTGACGCACAAAAAAAAAAAATTTTTTATTATGGTAAAAAGTTTTGGTAGCGTTATTTGTATTAAGCTTTTAATTTTCACTTAGTAAATATCGTCTTCACTTAAAAACCTGATAGCTGACCAAATGTGCTGCAAGAAAGAACTTTAAAACATTTTTGAAAATAAAAGAAAAATGCAAACAATTGTTGTAAAAATTCTATATTCACCGAAATTTTATTTTTTCTTCAGATAATAATGTCCTTAATGTATATTATTTATAAAAGCAAATAAAAACTTATCTAATTTGATAATTAGATAGTTTATTGCAGTTTTTATTTTTATGATTTGGAGCAGATTTTTTAAAAAGTGGGACTAGTGAAAAACTAAACTGGTTATTTAATTTCTCCAAGGAGTCCTCTTTATAAGGAAAAAAAAAAAAAAAAGTTGCAAACTTTTTTTTTGAAATTCTATAAAATTTCATAAAATTAAATTTGGAGGTAGTAACAGATGTAAAAAAAAAAAAAAAAAAATTACCAAGATTTTCTAAAAATAAAATTTCAAAAATAAATTCATTCATTTTTTTAATAAGTTCTGAAAGTTTTTTTAATTAGACAATTATTTGATTTTTGCAATGATTTCAAAATTAATGGGTTCTCACCCGAAATTGCTACACTAAAAAAAAAAAAAAAAAGCGATGACCACAAGTCGTACGGTTTAAAAAAAAAAGAAAACGAGATGTTTGACCCAAATTTAAAAAGTGTTAGAAAGAAGAGAAATATTTAAAAAATACGTTCTTTCCTCTTAAGAATAACAAACATTTTTATGATGAAACTTTGTTTTTATTAAGTTTTGTTATTATGCTATACTGACATCTTGCGAAGAATTGGAGGTACCTAGAGACCTTTTACGTGTCAATTGGCTTTAATGCAGTTATTTTACGATTAAGAGCAGATTTTTAAGTTGGCAGCAGTTGTGAAGGAAAATATTTAATTTCTCTAAGGGATCATGCCAAAATTAGGTTCCTCCAGGTCGCTTTTTATTTTTATTTTTTTATATACAGTGTAACCCGGATATAAGAGTTGTTGGGACCAGAGAAAATCTCTTGTATCCGGGTTATATATATATATATATATGTATGTTTATTTTGCGCTTTTCCAGGGGAAAACACCTTGATTTGGGAACCTTGCAAAAATTCAACTTGTCAGAGTTTAATGAAACTTTCAGGGCATTCAGAAGTGAATAAAATTTTTTTTGTAAATCAGCTCTGAATTGTAAATAAAAACAATGCAGTTTAAATTAACATTATTCAATTAAAATTCGCTTCTGCAAATAAGGACGCCATTGACTGGAGAAATACTTTTTTTTTTTTTTTTTTTTTTTTATCATAATTCAAAAATTGCTATATTCATTAGTTTTCTAGAATGCAATTTGGTGATATCGTTAAGTGAAAAGTAAGCTTACGAATCGAATTGAAAAGCTTTGCCTGAATATTTTAATTTTTAGTGAAAAAAAACTTTCCTAATTTCTGCCTATGGGAATCTACTTGGCATAATCCTTAAAAAGGTCACATGATTTAAGTGTCCTTTGACAAACTGCAATTATTTCACTTTCAATTAGGCACCCTTTTCAATACCTAATTTGAAAAATGATTAAATTTATTATTAAGAAATTTGTAAGTAAACATTGATTGGGTTTAAAATTCTTTTACAAATTAAATTATACATTTGTGATACATCATTTGAGTAAAATTAGAAAATTTAAACAATCTGATTTGAAATAAATGTTACTTATAGCATAAAAAAAACAATATACAAGCATTTCCTAACAATGTTATGAGCTTTTCAAATTGATTTGTAAATTTACTTTGTACTTGATATCACCAAACCACCATCTTGAAAGCAATGAAGAATTTTAAACAATTTTTTAACTAATTATAATTAGAACTTTAAAAAAAATTCATTATTCATCAAAAAAAATTTTATATTAAGGACATTGCCTGAAGAAATAACTTATTTACAAAAGCAATTAAAAGCTTTTTTTTTATTAATGTCAGTTTTACTACATTTTTTATTCTACAATTCAGAGCAGATTTTTGATGAAAGCAGTAATTGTTTTACAAAAGAAATTGAGTCCTGTTTTTAACAAATAAAAAAAAAAAAAATCTCCTACTTAAAAATTTAATTTCTTGAAATTTCATGAAATTATGTAAGTGGGTGGTAACATGAAAAAAAATTTTTTACAAAGATTTTCTAAAAAATAAAAATTTCAAAAATAATTTAATTTCTGAATGTCCTGAAAGATTCATTAAAATCAAACAATTATTTGAGTGTTGGAAGAATTTCCAAATTAGTGTGTTTTTTCCTTGGAAAAAAAACAAAATAAAACGAATCCTTTTTCTCTAGTTTTTAACCAAAATTTCGAATGTGCTAGACAGAAATGAAAAAAAAAAAAAAAATTTTTTTTTTTAAATACTTAACATTTTGGTGACAAAACTTTCTATTGTGTTTGGGGCCTTTTTTTTTTTTTTTT